GGTTAAAAAAAAAAAAACCTTTTAAATAAAAAAAATTTAAAGAAAGAAAAAAAAAAGCCCCCTGAATGTACAGAAAGAACACTTCGGCTTAGGCTTAGCAATTGATCAACACATGATGCAGGTTTCCAACAACCAACAGCTCTGTGGTGCCGAAGCTAGAGGCTTCCCTGAGGCTTCCCTGAAACTTCCTCATATTAGGTTAAAAAAAAAAAAAGTAAAAACTTTAAGAGGAGAATTTATATATCTCCACACCCAAAACCTTTCTTCTAAAACACTGAAGAATATCTTTTTTTGAGCCTTTCCAATAAAAAGTGAGTATGTGCTTCAAGATGTGAATAACCATTTGACCCCTTCGTGGCCTGAAGTGACTTCAAATACGATATGTCATAGTTTCAGTGCCCTTTTCTGCATTTCAAAAGATAGGGGGAAACTACTAAAACATTTCAACTTTCAGACATTCGCATTTGACCCTTCAACATCCTCAGCTTTGTTTTGCATTAATGTGTTACTCCTTGTACCTCTGTAGGCAGAGAAAATAAAGACGACAATGTTCTCTAGATTGTAGCACACACATACCACACAATACTTTTGGAATATAAAATAAAACCAGTGGTTCTCAACCTTTGTGTGGGTCATATATCAGATACCTACATATCTGATATTTATATTACATTCCAGTTATGAAGTAGCAACAAAGTCATTTTATGATGAGGGTCACCACAACATGAGCAAGGAACTATATTAAAGGGTCACATCACAAGGAACTCTGAGAACCACTGGATTTTTTTTTTTTTTGGTTTCTCTGTGTAACAGTCTCAGTTGCCCTGGAACTCACTTTGTAGACCAGGCTGACCTCAAATTCACAGAGATCCGCCTACCTCTGCCTCCCAAGTGCTGAGATTAAAGGTATGAGCCACACCACTACCAGGCCACTGGAAACATTTGAAGTGTGTTTGTTTGGTATTCCTGCCCTTTGCTTCAAATCCAGACATGCAAAACTCCTATTTTAGTATAAAATTGAATGCAGAAGTCATACTTAATATGTAGTTCTAAATACATCCTTTTATTTCAGTGCATTTGACTGTAAACAGGTACATTATCGCTCTGCTTCCTTTACCAAGGTTTCAGACAAACTAAACGACTGCATATCCCATTCCTTTCTTTCTTATCCATATCTAGTGACCTGAATCCAAAGACCTGCTGAATGTACAAAGTCAGAGCCGGCTGGAATCATGTCCAGTTCCTTCTAAACGGAAAATGGGTTGAAGTGAAAATCCGTTTTGTTTTTAAATTGTGTGCGTTTGTGTGTGCACATACACTTCATACACATGTATGTGTGCAAGCCTGTGGAGACCAGAGGACAACCTCTGTTTTGTTTGTTTGTTTGTTTGATACAAATGGTGAGACAGTCCCAGGGACCTGCCAGTCCCTGCCTCCCCAGCGCTAGGATTATAAAAGTCTGCTCTCATGCTCAGCTTGTTTACACGGATTCTGAGGGTGGAATTCAAGTCCCCGCGCTTGTATAGCAAGCGCTCTATCAGCTGAGCTATCCTCTTATCCCCTAGCTGGAAAACTTTGGCCACTTTTTGCCTTTGTAAATGGAGCATACTAAACAAAACTCAAGCATTTTCTTTGTTTTGTTTGCTTTTCTAACAGGGAGTCATCTTAAGAATCACAGTTGCCCTGGGTTTCTCATAGCTGAGACTCACTGGTGTGGATGTTAACGTAGGAGATCTGCTAAGCAGTCCTAACCTGTAACGTCTACCTGTAATGACTACCTGACTGGGCTTGGTCACTTCTGACTATCAACTATTGCTCTGGCAGCCACCCCTCCCAAGCACCATCGTAATAAATTAGTTTCAAATGACGGCAGAAAGCAAGTCAACAAGGGAGTTGAGCGAACTTTAGTCTGCACATACATGGAATTTAGTTTGTGTAATTCCTGGGAAATCCCATGATCCACAGCCCAACTCCACCTGAGGCCTGGGGACCTTGGTCAGTCAGTTTGCTTGCAGAGTGACCACAGTCTATAAGCAAGAGCACACCCTCATTCTCAGCAGGTTGTCATAGGGTTGTGGGAAGCAAAAATTTAAACTTCTAGTCGGAATAATACATCATATAAATATTTAATAAAGATATAACTTCCTAGTTTGTCAGCAAAATTTAAAAAACATGGTTTCACGTAAGGGCCTAGAAATGTTAGTAGTTAGCATTCGATCTGCTTCTCTATCCCTTAGGACATACTCTTGAGGGGGTCATTTTAGGAAGCCTGGCATTATAGGTAAGTGACAATCTTGTTATCGTCTTGCTTTTCACTCACTAATACGTGGTTCAACTGAAAACAAAGGAGTATGGGAAAACATTTTTTTTTCAAAAAGTAAAATAAACCTTCTTATCAAGATGTGTTATACACAGCACCCAAAAAAGAAAAAAAAAAAAAGAAAAACCTGAGGCAGCCTAGGTACTTTCTGGAATTTCATCGCCAACTTACAGCTTTGATATTCAAGGTGCAAAGTAGACTAGGGCCAACCAGGATATCCTGGGGATAAACATGTCTGGCCCCTCTGTCTGTTCACAGGAAAAAGCTTTCACAAATAGATTAATTCTTTAATTGTGATCCCATAAATGGAACGACTATGTTACGCTAAGCAAGAGTATTCAAAGGAAAACCACTCAGGATTCTGACAGACAATGTATGGCTTTGAAAAGCCGTAAGAGTCTAGAATGCAGCTTCGACAAACAAGCCAGCACATTTTAAGAACCTGACATGAAACATGAAGGGTAGCCAATTTTGGAGCACAGGTGCCCTTCAAACCAGGGTTGTCACCATGCTTCAACCTGAGGGCTGGGAGCTGTGAGGAAGTCATAACTCACGCCCAGAGGGCAGGAGTGGATCTTTTCTCAGTGCATCAGTTTGGGTGGGGAAAAGGTCACTCTGTAAATTGTGCGGCATGCAAGCATGAGGACCTGAGTTCAGACCTCCAAAAAAAGCTCCCTGTGGATGAGTTTTCTGAAACCCTGGCACTGCACAGATCCCTGGAGCTCAGTGACCAGTCAGAAGGGCCAAACAGATGAACTCCAGGTTCAGTGAAAGGCCTGGTTTCAAAAGATAAGGAGACCTGAATATTAACCTTCATCAGGCGATGAAAGGAGACAGAGACAGAGACCCACATTGGAGCACCGGACTGAAATCTCAAGGTCCAAATCAGTAGCAGAAGGAGAGAGAGCACGAGCAAGGAACTCAGGACCGCGAGTGGTGCACCCACACACTGAGACAATGGGGATGTTCTATCGGGAACTCACCAAGGCCAGCTGGCCTGGGTCTGAAAAAGCCTGGGTTAAAACGGGTCTCACTGAACATAGCGGACAATGAGGGCTACTGAGACCTCAAGAACAATGGCAATGGGTTTTTGAGCCAACTGCACGTATTGGCTTTGTGGGATCCTAGGCAGTTTGGATGCTCACCTTACTAGACCTGGATGGAGGTGGGTGGTCCTTGGACTTCCCACAGGGCAGAGAACCCTGATTGCTCTTTGGACTGACGAGGGAGGGGGACTAGTTTGGGGGATGGGGAGGGAAAGGGGAGGCGGAGGTGGGGAAGAGACAGAAATCTTTAATAAATTAAAAAAAAGGTAGCAAAATAAAAAAAAAAAAACAAAAGATAAGGAGAAGAGTGATTGAGAAAGATGATTACCTCTGGCCTACATAGACACAAGTTTAAATACATGTCACACACACACTGTGTTTTAAGACAACAGCTTTCCCTTCTCTTCAATAGCAAAAGAATGTACTGTTTATATTGAGCTGCTAAGACCACCAATAGCCTGGAAGGCTAACATCTCCTCTAAGGGTCACAATAAGCTTGCTAAGTGGATGTGTGGGTATGGTCCTCCAGACAAGTGAGGAAAAAAAGGATGTCTCCCATCACACAATTTAAGAGATCCAGAAAGGGAGTCTGGTCTTTCCCTTTGAGATCTATTCCTGGATCATCCTGTCATCTCAAGATAAAAGGCAAGAGGGGAACCCAAAGGAGAGAATTGTATTATACAACTTCCTCCAGGTGCTTTGTTGTCATTGTTTAGGAAGTGCAAATAACAGTGAAGGTCAGCACCAGCCAGGGTGAGGTGGGAGCCAGGGCAATAAGTTAACACCCCTGAATGTGAGGTTCTTATTGCATACAGAAGTTTGAAAAGCGCTGCTCTGGGACTCACTATAGAATCATGATGTAGAAAAAGAAAATTTTGGGTTTGTTGAGTCTATACAGATGGTACAGTAAATGTCCCCAATAGGACCACAGGTAACCTGAAAGCACGCACTACCTTTCTTATCTTTCTCCTCCACAGGGGATGTCACGCAGAAGCTGCAGAGAAGATGGTTATTGAATATAGTTACAGATATCAGAGCTCAACGGTCCAACTAATTTTTCATTCTAAATGCCTAGTGTGTGGCACACGGCCAAGGACTAATGATGACATGAATTCATTGAAAAGCAAGCATCCGGGGAAGGGTTCTGGTGAATCATCACTGGCCGCCCTAACAACTGCGAGGAAGTGGACCGCCTACAGTTTCTATTTTAGAGCTGAGGAACATGAAGGGCTGAGAGAAGTTTCACGCCTGACATGTGACAGAATCATGTGACTCAAGCAGTAGCTATTAGACCAGAGTCCCTGTACACACTGTCTCTCTCAGGGGCCCCTTTCACAGATGAGCAGGTCCAAACTCTTGATGCCAGATTAAACATTCCAGAATGTTTCTCTGTCAATTCCACCCATTTTTTTCAGCAGAAATGATTCAATGCCAATTAATAAAATGGAAAGTTGACAGTTTCTGACACAAATTCTGCTGAAATAAAACCCTACTTGTCTCCACCCTTCTCCTCCCAACCTGCCCCTCCTTACTATTCTAGTATTTGCAGAAACAAGCAAGCCCTATAAAACAACACTAGAAAAAAATGACCATATTTTTCTTTAGGGGCCTCCTAATGTTTTCTCTAGCCCCAGGGAGCTTGCTAACCAGCCAAAAAAGAAGAAAGCATGTTCAACAACAATAGTGAAAACTCACCAAGCACAAAAACCCTGCTGGTCTCAAAATCAATCTCATTCAACAGCAGATCAGAAACAGCCCTGGTGTTGGCTTTTTCTACCCGAAGTGTTTGCAGATCCCTGCTGTCTGGTTTCTATGGCCCTGTTTCCTCTTGGCCTTTCTCCGGGGCCTTTTGAATGTCCATCTGTATACTAAACTACCCCAAGATCTGGTGCCAATCTTGGTTCAAGAAAAGGGAGCCTGCAGAGCCCAGCACTAGCAGTTCAATGGTTTGATCGGATTCTTGTAGACAGCATCCATGCCAAAGCTGGTTCCATTGGAAGGTTCCAACATCGGATCACACTTTCCAAATATCTGCATTCATTCATTCATACTCGCTCACTTGCCCTTCCCTCCAGCAGCTTGGTAGCCAAATTTAATTTATTTATTTACTTACTTATTTTAATTACTCGGGTCCTAAACCATGTCCCCATGTTCTCGGTGGCTTTCTTGTGCTTCCTGCTTGGTCAGTGAAACATGACTTAACTGCTCACATTAGGCCAGCTCTTATACCCAGTGTGCTGTTGCTAAGCCCTAGTGAATTACCTATCTGTGCAAATTAGAAAGGAATAGCCTACGAGCTCCACACAACGATGTGAGCACCCGGTATCTATGATTTCAGCCCAGCTAGACTTTGGCTGTAAATTTCCTTAGCCACCCTTGCCCAAGGCTCACCCCTACCATCCTGACTCAGTGGCCCTGCAGACAGCTGTGTCTGTCCTGCCCTTCCGCGGGCCTTCCTCCACTTCTGCCCATCCTCAGCTCATACTGACACATAGTCAAGACTGTCTGGAATGAGGTCAACAGATCTCACATCCTGCCTTCCTTCCTCTTTCTCCTTACTGCTCAGTTTGTGACTGTTCTCTGCAATTACATACCCATGTGAAGAAACCTCCAAGCTCGAGCCAATGTTAATTTCCAATGTTTAGATCCAGCCCTAAGCCTAAGCCTCACACAGGACCAGCCATCTCTGCGTAGCCTAAGTCTTACTGGAAATGCTGGACCCCACAATGACAGATGGAAAAGCCTCAGTCTGCAGCTCACAACCTCCTTCTGATGTATAGTCCTTATTACTTCCCTTGATGTCCCCAATGTGCAGGGAATGCCGTCTTCTATACTAAGGCCACTTATTCTCTGTTGGTCATGACCATGCAGATAATAGCAGAGTTCATTATGCACACAGTAAATGCACAGCATGGTATTCAGCCCTTTTGTACATAATAACTAAGTCAAGAGGTTGAAAATACTCAGTGAAATTGCTTAATACTTAGACCAGCGGTCAGAATTCAAATTGGCAACTATCTGATCTCATAGCCCACAATTTTAAACTGTATATTAAGTAAAACTATAATAACTGTATTTTTGACTATAACACTATGAACTTAATTATATACTTTAAAATTAAAACAGAGATTGAGGTGTAGCTCAGTGAGAGAGCATGTGTTTAGCATGTTTGAGGCCTAGGTTCAATGTCCAATACTAAGCCAATAGAAAATAATGTTATGATGAACATTAAATAAGTGTTTATTAAAATGCACTGACTTCCAAACACCTTAATCTATCACACATAGAGATAGTTTAAAGTAGTGATGGAATTTTCTCCTAGAAATGTCTCGAAATTTTCAATAGGCAATAATTAAAGAAACAGGGCACATACACAAATAACAGGCACTATTATGCCAAAAGAAACTATTACTTTAAATCTGAAGTTAGTAGCTACTACCATGTGATTTAAAAAATATTAAAATGAGGAAAACACCTACAAATAAACCAACAGAAAATTCTAACTTGGTTTTTATCCCCTCCAAAAAAATTTTTTTGAGAAGTCTCAACAAAGTTTCTTCAACTATCTTAATTCTAGCCACTTTCAAAAGCCATAGCTGTTTCCCTCTTCCTGGCAGGAAAGCAGCATCATGCATGGTGAGCTCCTTTGTCTCCCATCCATCAGTTGCTTGGATAGTGCACTAATGCTCAGCCACACACACCGTTCTCTTCCAGTCTGTGCAGAAAGCCAGTGCTTCCTCTGCTAGATAGATTTCATCCTGCGCAAATGCAGACAGCCTTTTCCATCTACTTGAACATAAGCTGCCATTGCCAAAGCAGATGACCAAACCCCCACATGCCCCCAGCCCCACCCACAGGGGACATGCCCATGGCACACATGAAAAAGAGAGCAATGACTTGCGGCATAATTTTTACTTTTAATAGCACAGCAGGCACAAAAACCACTCAGCTATCAGCAACTGTATTGGATGCTAAAATATCGAATGCTAAAAATAAATGAACTAAAGTTCCTATTCATGGAACCTCTCTCTTGATACTCTTTGACACTCTGCTCCAGTGCACATACACAAGGAAGTTTTATACTCCCTCTGTGTACTCCCGTTTTCTCTCCGGGATGCACCTCTATCAACCTGCCTGTCTGTCTGTCTGTCTATTTATGTATTTCATCTCAGGACCCTCTCTCTCTTCCTCCCTCCCCCCCTCTTGATAGGGTTTCTCTGTGCTGTCCTAGAACTCACTCTGCAGACCAGGCTGCCCTCAAACTCAGAGAGATCTGCATCCTGATTGCTTGGATTAAAGATGTGTGCCACCACTGCCTGGTGATCCACTTGTTTTAGAGATGAATTCATTTTTTTTCTTTTTGAGACAGAGTTTCATGTAGCCCAGGCTGGCCCCCAACTCACTATTGTAAGTTAAACTTGAATTCCCGATTCTATTGTGTCTACCAGTCACGTGCTGCCATTACTAGCATGAGTCATCATTGAGCAATAGCCTGACCTAGTTTTCTATTTTAATATACTATTGGGAAGATTTCAGCTGCAAAAAGTATTTGATAATATAAATGACTGTGCTTAATTTTAAAAATTAGCCTTATTCTAACAGAAATTCTATACAGTTCAGTTGTACAATCTGATTTATCTTTTATTTTTTTCAGACAGTTATGAGCTGCCATGTGGGTGCTGGGAATTGAACCCGGGTCCTCTGGAAGAGCAGTCAGTGCTCTTAACCGCTGAGCCATCTCTCCAGCCCCTCAGTTGTACAATCTGATGAGGTTTGGAGAATGCAGACAGTCCTGTAAGGACCATTATTGTGAGGATAGCAAACACTTTCATCACGTCCCAATTCCCTTTGTTCCTCCTTGTAGTCAGCTCTCTGCCCCTCCTTCCTGGTCCCTGGCAACCTGATGACATCACTTTAGTTACACTGTGTCTATAACTTCATAGAAACACAGTCAAACAGGGTGTATCTTACTTATGTTGATATATTAAGGGTACATTCATCATTGCTGCTTGTACCCAGAGTATGTGTTGCTGGGTACTTGTCTCTGTGGCTAGATACACAGGAATTGATTTATCATTTCCCTGGAAAGAAGACTTTGATTTCTTTGTAGGTTTTTGTTTACTATAAATAAACTACAGTGAACATTCAAATGAAGTTTTTCGGGTAGAAATATGTTTTTATGGACGGTA